TATATATATATATATATATATATATATATATGAGGATAAAATTTTACTTTTACATAATTTATATTCATTTCCATTTATATCGATTATTTTCAAGCACTTATATTCAGCCATGTAGGCTAAATACTTTAGTATGGGTATAAGTAAATGTTGTGAGATTACACAAAATGTTAGTCTATGATTGTTTTGCTAATAGCATTTTATTTCACTATTCACAAGTGGTATTAATATTTCATCTGGTAGTCTTTAACAAATTTCATCAGATTTATTCAGAATCTGTGAATCAAACGCCACCTAAGAGCATCTCCAACAGTTATGCTATATTTTTCTAGAATGAAGAATTAAAAGTCAAAATCTCTAAAATAAATAAATTAATTCAACTCCAACAACTAGTGTATTTTGCAATTCTAGCATTAACTATGTTAATAAAATATTTAGTACATTTAAAAAAATTGTTTATCTCTTCTAAACATTTATTTTCAATAAGTTTTAGTATTAAAATAATAATTTCTCTCTTTATTTAGAGATTTTTACAATCTATCTCATCTTTTCTCTATTTTAGCATACAAGATGTCATAGACGTTGAAGCATAAAATTACTAACGTCCTTCATTTCTCCATTTAGCATGACTGTTGGAGATGGTCTAAAATAAATTACATTCAATTTCAATAGATTCTTTATTTTAGATATTACATCATTAATTATATAATATATAAATATTTTATAATTTTATGATCACAATATACTTTTTAGAAAGAAAAAAAAAACTTTATATGAAATGATATTAATTCAACCCTCATTAGTGGAATGAGTAAAAAAAAACTCATTTATCTCTTATGTTTTTACAGTGTTTATATATATATATATATATATATATATATATATATATTTCTGTCACGTTATTTCGAACTCACTAAATTAAAACCTACGTAAAATTTCACAATGGTAGTTCTTTTAACAGCCTATTTAGTGGGTTCAGTATATATTTTCAACATAAACATAAAAAAACAAACAAAAAAGTCGTTTCACATCAAGTTTAAGATAAGAATCAATTGTGTTGTACGAAAACTCAAAGGAGGTGATGTTCTTATAAGAACTCATTTCAATGATGGATTTTTTTAAAACTTACTCTTTTTGCTTATAAAAACTTTGCATTGAAAATAGGACTGTATCTTGGCAGGGCAACTCCAATGGTATGTCGTATTGAAACCTCCAACTAGTGTTTGCAGCCATGGTGGTGTTCACTCCCTTTTGTCGATGTAAAGCTACATATTTGAGCTTTGCTTGACAACACACATGGTCCAAGGCTTTCATTTATGTGATTTGATCTTATCTTTCTTAATTGGGAAAATTGCATTAAAATGGAACCAACTTGCACCTAATTCGATCATATTTTGGAGAATCAACTTTCAAAATCATCATTTTGGGGAACCAACTTGCACCTGATTCCTAGTTTGGGGAACCAACTTGCATCTGATTCCTATTTTGGGGAACCAACTTTCAAAATCGTCATTTTGGGGAGCCAACTTTCACCTGATTCCTATTTTGGGGAACCAACTTTCAAAATCGTCATTTTGGGAACCAACTTGCACCTGATTCCTATTTTGGGGAACCAACTTGCAAAATAATTATAGAAAAATAACTAAAATTCTTTTTTTTTCCAAAAATTAATGCAATAAAATCTATTTTTCATTTCAAATCTCGTTTTTTTTTTAATTCAGATATCAAATTGAACATTTAAAAAAAAATCCAAAATACCACAATAAAAATTGTTTTTTACTAATGCAAAAAAAATCAATTGATGCATTAAAAAATAAATATTAAATATCACATTCAAGATTTTTATATCTAACCAATTGCATCAATTAATTTTTTTTTCTATTAAATTGATTTTTTTGCATTAGTAAAAAACAATTTTTATTATGGTAATTTGGATTTTTTTTAAAATGTTCAATTTGATATCTGAATTAAAAAAATGATATTTGAAATGAAAAATAGATTTTATTGCATTAATTTTTGGAAAAAAAACGAATTTTAGTTATTTTTCTATAATTATTTTACAAGTTGGTTCCCCAAAATAGAAATCAGGTACAAGTTGGTTCCCCAAAATGACGATTTTGAAAGTTGGTTCCCTAAAATAGGAATGAGGTGAAAGTTGGTTTCATTTTGATGCAATTTTCCCTTCTTAATTAACTGCAACTTTATATTTCGTTTTATTATATTTTAATTTATGTGTGTTCTACAAAATTTAAAAAACAAATATCGAGTTTTCGTAAATTCTCTAAACTATGTGATGAATATAATTATGTATAAGCTACTATTTTCATGAACTCGAACAAATAAACCGACTAACCAATATACGTACTTTACACATAAAATCTAACACTTGAGGTATCAAAATGAAAGAAAGAAATATCAAAAAGTTGTTAAAACTATATAAATAAGTAATAATCATCATTCTATTAAATGCTATTTTTATATAAAGTCAAAAGAAGTCAATAAACGAAATTACAAGAGAATTTTTTGGATCATAGAGGGATGGATAAAGGAATTTCTGATTCTTTTATCGGTTAATCTTTGAAAAAGGTTTACCTACAAAACATTTTCGACAAACAAAATGTATATTGCATAACTTGAAGTGGGGAGTAAGGTGCCGTTTACCAAATGCTTACTCGGGTAAGCGCTTATCAAGTCAATTTACTTTACCAGATGAATATGACAAAGACTAAGAATCTTACCCATTAAGAACGAAAACAAGAATGATCAAGTCTTGCCCTATAAGTGAGGACAAGGACTTTTACCATGGTTAGCGCTTACCGGGATAAATTGTTGCACACACAATCGATCATATTTTTGTTTTACTATTAATGAAACGCACTAGTTTGGAGTTCTATTTGCCATTGTTGAATTTCTAATCAGACTTTGTATAAGTCGAATGTAAATCGGTATCAAAGTAAAAAAAAAGTCAAGTAATTATTCAAGTCCTTATGAGACGTTTGGTTTGATGGAATGATTTTGAGGGATTTGAATTTTATAGAAAGATTTGGAATTGAAGGGATTTAGAATTTTTGGTGTGTTTAGCTTGTCGGTTTTGGAATGCTATTGAATTCTATCGTTCATTAAAAAAATTATAAAAGTAATTAAATTATTATTTTTATTAATTGATTATTACAAAACAAATATTTTTAATATATTTTAAATTATTATTACATGAAAATCCTACGAAATCCTATGAAATACCAACCAACCAACCTCACTTCAAGTTATGCAAATAATTAAACTCTTTCATTTACGTACTTATATTTTATAATAATGTAAATTACGTTTATTAATCAATAACAATTTAGTTGATTTGCATTTTAAATTGTTTGTCTCCTTGTAATCATGCTTCAAATAATCATTTAAGTTTGTTAATATCAATAAATTAAATTAATATAAATAGGATATATAATTTATAAGTACGTTTAGTTATACTAGAAGGGTAT